AAATCCGTCCATGCATAACTGAGATCCGGGTCCGGAATGGTGAAAATGTGCGATTTCAATGCATTTTCGGCCTTAAAGCGGCCGCCATTTGGCTATCGTTAATGAGATCATGAAACAAATGCACATACATATTTGTGACATGATGTACCTTGTGTGTGTGAAGTTTGAACTCGATCAATCCAAGCATGTCTCAGATACGGATCCAGAACTGAATTCTTTAAAACAAAATGGCCGCCAGTCGGCCATTTCGAACCCGATCCAAAAAAAAAAATGACGTGCATCAAGGTCCTATTATGTTTAATGTATGTACCAAATTTGAACAAAATCCGTCCATGCATAACTGAGATCCGGGTCCGGAATGGTGAAAATGTGTGATTTTGATGCATTTTCGGCCTTAAAATGGCCGCTATTCGGCTATCGTTAATCGGATCATGAAAAAAATGCATGTGCATATGTCCCATATAATGTGTGATGTATGAGTGAAGTTTGAACTCAATCGGTCCATGCATGTTCGAGATACAGGTGATCACGGACGCACGGACGCACGGACGCACGGAAGCACGGACGGACGGACGCACACAGGGCAAAACATAAGTCCCCGTTTTCGGACTGCGTCCGAACGGGGACTAATAAGGACAACATTTTTTTCTACAACAACATTTCAATACTAAAGTCTGCGATTGTTTATTGACCTTATACCTCGTGCTTAACGATACAATCACCATAACATTGTCAGCTGCTGTTGCGATCATTGCTATCTGACTTTTCAGTGAAAAAATATACAAATGTTTTGTTAATTAAAATGATTCATTGACGATTATCTTCGAAATACATCAAAATCGCCAACAAGATGTTGGTTTTAAACATCACGAATAAACATGTACTCTGCGCCGCCATCTTTGTTACCTCGATTTATTTACAGTTTTCTTTCCAATGCGACTTAATTTCACTTGTTTTTTTTTTTTTTTCTTGGCAATTAGTGTCACTGGCGATGGAGGAGTAAAAACCACAATAAACCGCAGTGCAGCAAATCGGGATGGATCATCCCAACGCAATGGGCAAATTATTAGTACTCAAGTATTTGTTTTTAGTTTTGCAGGCTCCGCACCATTGAAAGACTTGGTAACTTCTTTTTATCACCGTTTTTGTAAGGCTAACAAAGGCGGGGTTACCTTTCGATCAATACATGTTATTGTTTTAAAGACTGACACTTGTAAACAATACAACAACTTGAATAAGCATCACGGACAGGATTTCAAGAATCGTGGGCGAAACGAAAGCGACATGGCTGTTTGTCTGAGCGATGCAGGCTAGCAGTGCTTGAAAGGCCTAGGGAGAACACTGAATTATAAAAAAGAAAACTACTTGATAAACAAATATCAAACCTCATTCATAATTAATAGCTGCGTACACGTACCTCCATCCACGAAAGCCTTAGGTGTAAAACCAAAAAACTGCGTTTCATATTCATAAAACTCTAAATTGTTCGTTTGAGGTTTACTAGTTGAGGCTTCACTTGACAATGTTGACGACTGTTCGGATAATAATGAAGTCTGCTCACAGGTCATTGACTCACACATTGTTGAATCTAAACAAAGAATATCATTTAATCAGCAAAGCATTCCATATGAGTAGAGTGATCACTTAACTCACCCATCAAAATTATTAATATGAATTTCAGCTGTTAAATAAATGCAATCTATTTGCCCTGTATGCCGGGTAATTGATAACGAATACTTTGTGTACACAGCAGCATTTTGAGTAAGCTGAACAGCTCGAGCCAGCAAAAAATGCTGTGTAAAAGCATTCAGTAAAAGTCGATTTCAATTGAGCTTTGATAAGGTTATGACCCTAACATGGCCCTGACTGTGTAAGCACATCAGACCGAGATCATGTAACCCATCTATCGCCTTCTTCAAATTAAGTTCCATTCAAATCATGGCATCTCAGGAGTCGTTTGGATGTAGTTTGTAATTTCTGTTTTACACTTTATTGCGAAAATAAGCGTTGCTTGTTTGCAGCAATTTGCACAAAGCATTTGTGGCATTCTTATTCTCGTGGGTACTGGACATATCAACCCCAAAAAATCTCGACTCGCTTTTCATTGGACAACTCGAACCAGTACCCCTAGACATCTTGACCCACCTATTTCAGACGACCCGTCAATAACGTTGTTTTTTTCTCAGAGCTCACAGACCAGTGTTTGTTTCACTGAATTAATATTTTTTTCCACTTTCGTTGTTCATTTCACAGCACACAACCCATGATTGGTTGATCCATTGCACTGGATTGCATTTAAGGATCGGTTCAATCAGGCTCTCTGAGGCCGATGGTTCAAATCAATAGATGTCGATCAACGTTGAACTAGATAGAGGTTCTTGCCACCACATATAAATGTACTGAAATGAGCCAAGTACGGGTGAAAAGTACAGGTCGTACTTTTCAGAAAATAGCGAGCACGGGTGATATTTGAAGCAAGTACGGGTGACATTTGTAGCGAGTACGGGTGATATTTGTAGCGAGTATGGGTGGTATTTGTA